GAACCAACGACTTTAGTAAAATATGATCTTTTTTTTAAACTGCATTTTTTTAATGTACAGCTGTGTACTTTGAAACATTTATTAAGTTAGAGATTACTTTGTGGTAATTATGGATATTTTAAAAAGGTTTATACATGTCCTATTTATTTCTCCATGTTAAAAGATGTTTAATTATAAGATATTTTATATTTATTTTAGCAAAACTACATTTGTCATTTCTGGCTAGGAAAAGGTAAGTCACTTGTAAAAGATAATTAATATACTATTTACAACATGTAAAAATAGCGTGACGTCAGTGGATTAAGAAAATGAAGAGGGAAAATATGACGTAACACGAATACTTTAGGAATTTATCTTTAAATATTAAAATCAAACTAATGATTAAACATTTTACTTGTGTTATATCCTGAAACAAACAAATATTTAAGTAATATTATGTGTCAACAAACAAATATTTAAGTAATATAATGTGTCAACATGTTGTACAGCACTACTGCGGCTAATGATTAAAATAAACTTAAAGACTTTAAAGTCAACTTCTATTTTTGAAACACATCACATTATTTAACATTGTTCATGGAATTTGTACAAAGCCCAATGTCAAATAAAAAATAGGTGAAAAAAAAGTACGCAGCACTGTTAAGGCTAGAAAATGGCGGCGGGGCCTAATTTATACGGGAAAAGTTTACTGTGACGTCACACAAAAATATGACTTTTTATGCATTCATCGTATTACCCGAAAATGAAATATTATGCAACTTTAAACTGTATTAGCATAATAAACAACAATAAAACTTACCAATGCATTAACAAAGTCGCTAGTTAAATCCCATACAGCTGGTTTTATACAAATCACTGATCTCGATGAACTTGTCAATCATGACGTCATTTTGGTAAAAATGACGTATTTCATGTACTGTGAAAGGCAGATTTCGGAATTTTTTAACAATGAAAAATGCGTTTTATTATAAAACAGAATATTATTTACAGGTATTTTAATGGGCTAATTATACCAATGTATAGCCTTTGTTAAGTGCGATTATTCATCAACTATCGAGAGAATGTATTTAAATAATTCTGTCCTGTTGTAATGTTCAGGTTTGGTAAATTTTACATCGAGGTGCCCCATATAATCGCTTTTTCGCAAGGGCATACACTAAATAAATCTTAACCATTTTTTGAATATAAATAAAGGATATGTTCCTTAACTTGAAAAGTGCTGCTGCCTTTTTAATCGAGAGCATGACTTCATAAGTACACAAACTATTTGGTAAAAGTCAAACATATTTCGACATCAGCCTATTTACTTGAAATTTTAACTATAAAAACGCCAATTCTATTCAAAGCAGCAGCACTTCCCAGAAAGTACAAATTATGCAGAATCAATTAATAGTTTAAATTTTTAATTTCAACTAGGGTATGCCCTTGCGATATTGAAATTTGTAATTGACCTACATTCCGTGTACCTACTATGCATTCATCACGTGACTGTCCATCGATGGGACCAAACTCCATACAGTACAGAGTAGGTTATGCTATGGTATTTCCATAAGTATTTAAGTTCTGTGATAATAGAACAGCTGAATAAAAATAAATTTAGTTTTAAAAACAATTCCCGTTTTTGCACTTCTATTTTCCGTTGATTTCTCATAGTAAGCCTTAACAGTGCTGCGTATATAACAAAGTGTTAAAAAGCGGTCATTACACTCGTAATCCTACTTTATTTCATACCAATGATGTTCATGACTTTTTATCATTGTTGAAAGTTTAGATCTACAGCGTATAAATCAGTAAAAAGTAAAAATGATGATATTCAATGTGAGAATAAGGAAGGTGAGATTTATTACCTGATAAGTGTCCCTCATTCAAAATGTTGAATATATTGTCACGTTATCCTCTTCTGTTTAACTCATAACATCGAACAGGAAGTACATCACTCCATGCGGACTATCGCCTGGTTAATGGCGGCTGCTTGAATACTTCCAGAAATTTTACCCCTCTGCAACTTTGATATTGGCTTATATAAATTGTCTAAATATAACATGTTTCAAATATTTCCTTCTGTACGGTCGTTTAGAAATTCAGTATAATAATGTTACCTTCAAATGCTATACTTTAAATTATTGAAGCATGGCGTGTTAAGTGTCAAATTTCAAGGTAACTTTGGTAAGTTTCTGCAAAGTTATTTGTAAATTTGCTTTTAGTATAAACATTATCTCCCACATTAAAAAGATGCATGTACCTGCTAAGCAGTCTGCTGCAAAAAACAAACAATCAAACAAACAAACAGAAATAAAAAAAAAAAAGCGTTAAATAGCTTTATGCAATATACGAGGGTTATTCAAAAATACGTAGACAATTTTCTTCATCATCATCATATTATTCAAACAAAATTGTGGGTCAGCATATTTTCGGAAATAAAAAAACATTTATTTTTTTTGCAGTTTGAAGTTTCATTCAATTTAATAAATGAAAAATCCATGTTAGCCCAATTTTAAACACACATGTTTTGTAACCACAGAGCACATTGTAACGTCAAAAACACCGTCGAGAAAGTTTCTCATTTTTTTCAATTTCATACAGGATTTTGTCTTTTTTATTCAAAATTCACCCATAACTCTTAACATCTAGTTTGATAACAATTGTGCAAATAGTTTGAACTACCTATATATTGTCAGTGTTTTCAAATTCCTTTCCGATTTAATATATCAGTTCCACAACAGTGAAACGCGCATCGAGTTTTGTGACGTTGACAAGATTTGTTAGGCATGACCCGTTATTTTGCAGACCATGCTTAAATTACATTTTTAATTTATAAATTAGAATTACTTTTATCGACAAGTATTTATTTGATTTTTTTAATCACTTAGTTTTCAAAGTAGTTTTCACTGTGCGAATGAAACACAATATCATTCAAAAATTGTACTTTCAATTTTATACAAATATACAGCTATTTTTTCATGCATTTCCTGGTTTATAAAGAATATATATATATTTTTAAGTTTGTTAAAGAATTTCCCGAACAAAGATAACGTTTATTGTTACTTGCTGTTTCTGGACGTCCTCCAGCGTCATGTTTTCCCCTTTTTTAATCAAGTCCCACTCTGTTCAGAAACTGATATCTTTTAAACGAAATAAAATATTACATTACCCAATAACATCTTAATTGATAAAACAATCCTAAATTAAATTTAACATATATATTGTATTTTGTTTCAGCTCCATTTATTAGAGGTATGGTTATATATACCATAAAGTGAAAATTAGTTAACTACTCAATGTTGCTCCCTGACCCCAATTTTGCTGGTCTAAATCTTCGATAATTTTTCCTTTTATAAATTTGAAGATATTTTCCATTTTTTTAACACAAATTAATAGAATGTGTTTGTAAACTAGAGGTACTGTGAGCAATGAGCTCAGAAAATGATACCCCTGACTTCAATATGAATATAATAGCAGTGTCCATGTTTACTGTCGGAAACCCGAAATGCGTGTCAGATCAAAAAAAAAAAAAAAAGAATAGGATGTGTATAATGTCAATATGTAATAAGGATTTTGTGAAAGTTTCATAAAATTTATTTCAGTGGCATGAAAGGAGTGGCGGATAAAAGATGGGTACCCCAACGGATGTACAGCTAGACAGCTAGACAGACAGACGGACGGAGGGACGGACATACTGATTACTATATACCCTCCCGCTTTTCAAGCTTTCCAAACTTTGGATATAACATGACGTAAAATGGGGCCTAAATAAAACGGACAAAATTCTGCCAACTTTTTGAGTGACCCACATAAGTCAAATACATCAATATTGAAAATTGTGTAATAAAAAGAAAAGAAAACAAAACAAGAAACAAAACAAAAAATTGTCACTGGCACGCACAGGAGCAAAATTTAAGGAAAGAAACATAGATTTATAGTGAACACTTATATGCATGATATGCACAGACAGGCATCTATATAAAACATAATTGAGTAATTGAGTAATAAAAAGAAAAGAAAACAAAACAAGAAACAAAACAAAAAATTGTCACTGGCACGCACAGGAGCAAAATTTAAGGAAAGAAACATAGATTTATAGTGAACACTTATATGCATGATATGCACAGACAGGCATCTATATAAAACATAATTGAGTATTGTTTCAAAGGTTGAAATGATCAAAAAAAATATTCATAAATGTTTTCACATACAGAGATGTTATTTTGAAGATTAAAATAAATTTTGCATTTTTCGTTACAAATTTACCAACGAATAACATACTGGGAAAACATCGATCGAACATCTGAATTTTAGCACTTTAACTTTAAACAGTGTATTATTCAAGAAATAAGGTATAATTTTTAAACATCTATCGGGATATAAATACGGGTTGGTCACGAGATTAAATTCCATAAAGCTTGAAGGGCTTTATGATGAATTTAATCTTGTACCAACCCGTATTTTTAGCCCGATAGATGTTTAAAAATGATACCTTATTACTTATATTTACATTTGTGACTTATGCAGACTTTATATTTTCCTGATTGTGACCTTAATAGCTTTGACGTGTAAAAATGCATTATTTTTTAAACCCAACGGCATGTATACAATCCACTGAACGCGCGTCGACCCTTTATGACGTCACTGAGAAATTACGTCAAACGATTATCTATACGCACATCTATGACCTCTTGACCCTGTACCTGTATTTATACAGTTATAGATACGCATTCCATCCAGTAATGTTATATAAGGGAAAACATTTGCAAATGTAAATATTTAGAAGAAAAAAAAAATATGTGTCTTGTGATGCCCTAGTTTTGTTGAAATTTCCAGCCAATACACTTGCTTAACAGAGCAAGCACTTGACATCCTATCGCACGCGACATAAACATAAACCTGTCAACGGAAACGATGCAAATGTATTCGCTTTTTTAAATTTTAGCAGACTATGTTCAAGGAAGTTATATTACTAATGAATTCTGTGTTTCACTTTAACGCATTCTTTGATGCTTAAGGTAGTACGAGTGTGAAATCAAAGTAATGGAAAACAAATGATTTTGGTATTAATGGATACACATATGTATAAGCAATACATGATTATAATATAAAGAAAAAGAGTGTAGCCGTTTGCCCCCTAGCGGTTGCCAAACTAAGGGAGGTAACTCTTTGTGATATTTTCCTTAAAAATATAGTCCGCACACCAACTTAAAAAAATAGGTCAAAGATTATGTAAAATTTTGAAATGATAATTTTCATTAAACAAGGAACATCTGTTCTAAAATTTAAAACCAATATTTTTTTTTAACAAATTCTAAACTGTGATATCAGCGCCACCTATGACGTCTATTTTTTCTGACCAAAGTACATAAGTTGTGGATCTTAATCAAATTATAAAACATAGACAGAGTAATGGAATCAGAAAAAAACAATTTATTTTTATAAAATATAACATCAATCAATCAAATTTTCCAAATTTAAGCAAAAAGAGTGAAGCCGTTTTGAAAATATTTAACCCGAATTTCCTCTGATCAGCTTTTTTCTGCAAAATTCTTGTGTTTACGACTGCTCTAAATTTGTCTCCATTTATAATTCAATAAAAACAACTAAAATGGAAAATGGGCATGGTACAATATTCTATGAACTATATATTACTTAAACAATATTCATTTGTAAAATAAAGAAAAGTTGTTTCATTAATGTCCTCCATAGTCCTCTATACTATCCAATGATTCGAAACAATAAATATGAGAAATATATGAATTGTTATCACATATTTTACAATATGCAGAGTAATGGAAATAAAAAAAATGCATAGGTTTCCATGAACTGTAACAGTAATTAATTATTGTGTCCAAGTTTCAAAAAAAAGAGTGGAGCCATTTTGAAAATATTTAGCCCGAAATTCCTCTGATCAGCTTTTCTCAGCAAAATTTTCATGCTTACGACTTCTCTAAAATCAGTTTCATTTCAATAAAAACAATCTAAATAAAATATGAACATGGCACAATTTTATGATCTATGAAATACCTGAACAACTTTCATTTGTAAAATAAAAAAGAAATAAAGTTAATGTTTCACAGTGTATGACCTTACAATGCCAGTTATTATTGTCCATTGACCAACAACAAGATATGAAAAATATGAATCCTTTTCATATATGTTACTACATGCATAGTAATGGAAACAAAAAAATGCATAGGTTTTACATGAAATATGACAACAATCAATCAATGAGTCCAAGTTTCAGAAAAAAGAGTGGAGCTATTTAGAAAATATTCAGCCCGAATTTCCTCTGAACATCTTTTCACTGCAGAATTTTCCATAATTTCACAAGACAGTATATCAATGCATGAAAAAGTACAGGAACCTCATAATTTCTTATATTTCGACCAAGTTCCACCACACTGTCATTGGTAGACAAAAAATCCATTAAGCTTGTAGGACCTGTCCTAATGTTTACTGCTTTCACCTCACTCTTTGTCATTGTGGTACATTTTCTTTCCTCCAGTCCTAATTCCAGTTATCTCTCTTACTTTTGGGTGAATTGGAGTCTTTGGTAGTACATGTAAATATGTTCTCGTCTGGTTGAAGTGGTTTTCTCCATTGATGGTCAAAATTTGTAGTATATGTGTAGCATATGCTCTGGCTAAAATAAAATAAATTATATTAATTATATATTCATTTATTTAGGTAAACTTAACTAGGAGAGAAATATGGTATAATAAACGTTATACTCCCCTACCAAATACCGGTACAACAGATACATGTACAATTCAAAAGAATACATATAAGAGATGCATCACTCTCATTTAAAAATTATCCACTATAGACTTGACTTTTTCAAAAGTAGGTCAAATGTCAAAACCAGTTCAATTAGTATGCCCTGGGTTAAAGTTTTTCCAAGATTTAGTCAAATTCCATGATAAAGGTAAAAAATTTTACCCATAAAAAACCTCTCGTTGCTGGTAATTTGTCTTTATCATGAGAACTCCTCCACATCACATCCAGAAGCCTGCAAAGTTCCTTCCCGAACTTCATTTGTAGACGTATTCTGCTGCCTGTGAAACAACAAAGATATTTGAAGATTAACAAGTCCTTGAACAAGATATGTTTGTTAAACACTTATTGCCCACTACCACAGATAATTGGAATTTTTCTAAGTCGAATGGACATAACTCTGTAAAAAAATCCCTGATCTTACCTACCCAAAACAACCTTGACCTAGATATTCTTATGATAAATCTGTATATTAAATTTCATTTCACTACATGCAACCTCTGCAAAGAAAATAAACAGAAACTGGTGGTGGACCGACCGACCAACAGACATACAGCTGCAAACAGACAGCTGCAAAGCAGTATGCCCTCCCTTGATACTGATATCATATCCCTAACTGGGGAAAAAATCTTACCCCACCTCTGTTGATTTTTCCGTGAAATCCTGGCTTACGATTGGTTGAAATCTGTCACGTGAAGGCGGTGGATTACTTATACCCGGTCAGTTGTAAATCCATACCCGGTCAGTAGAAATCTATACCCGGTCGATGTATAACGTCACAAACACGAACGTGACGTCATAATAGGCACAGTATAAGCGCGATAAAGCATTTAGCAGAGAAAACCATTTATAAACTACAGATAAATGTTACATCGGTGGGGTAAATTCGTTACATAGTCGGCTCCGCCTCGCCAGGTATGAAATTTACTAACCAGGTATCATCCCATACCCTGTCACTAAAAGACTATGTAACTAATAATACCTGTACATGTACAATTATCAGTAATGAATTAAGTATATTAAATTAAATAACACAGTGACTACAAGTTTCTTGAAATTATACTGATATGACCTCGAATGTGATTTTTGACACTCACTAGGAATTGACTTTTATTGAATTTTCTTGACTTTCCATGTTACTTATCAATAAAAGTAAATGACTAGAAATGTTGTGCTATGTATCAAATGATATAATAAAATAAAACCCCTTACCATAAAAAAATGTATGTTAAACTTATGCATACCAACATATTTCCCCCCAGCCACCACTACCCTTTCATTATTTGTTTATATGTAGATGTGTATCCCTTATGGTCTTATCTGAATTATCACAATGTGTAAATATAGATGCAGCATTGACCAGGTTGGGCACAGTTCCTTTTTCGGGGAAGTATTACTGTAAAAGGGAACTATTACTCTTTTCAGTAACAAAAAACATTACTGAATTCGGGAATTTTCACTCATTTAGTCTCTATTCCTGTGTTTGTTTTTAATAAAAGATAAAGTGCAAGAATATTTTCACATCCTCTAAATATTTATTGTCTATTAAGTATATGTGTGCTCAAAACTGCAATATTTATGGCTGCAAAAAGCTGAAAAAGAGTGATGAAATATTTCTATGATATAGATTTCTTACGGTAACTTACCTGTGTTAAAATTGCGATAATGGATACGTTCAGCACTTGCTAACTCGTTCATGAGATTATTCGTTCTTATTTAATACTATACTATTTCTTTAAATGAAATCGTAATAATAATTTTGAATATCATTTCTTCTTTTACAGATGAAAATAATTATTTGAAATATTAAATTTTAAATGATATTCTTTTAAAATTGTCCTGGAATGAATGCCCTTATTAGATTCCATACTTTTGGTACCATTATCAACAGGGACAATTATTAAATCTCATTTTACGCTTGTCTGCAGCAATGGAGGTCCGAATTTTTCAATCAGCGAGGTTTGTTTGATAAAGATAAAACACATCACACTGTATTTTTTATGCACTTTTTATTTAATAAATGGATTAGATGCATTATTTAAAAAAATTGACAAAAATTCCCCAATTGAGTAATGTTTTTATTACTGAAAAGAGTAATAGTTCCCTTCTGTAGTAATACTTCCCCGAAAAAGGAACTGTGCCCAACCTGTTGACACGTTTTCGTTTGAAGATTATGAATAATATTTATTCAATTTTAAAGACATATTTTCCAACAGAAAATCTCCCCTATCCATACCTGAATCTAAATTTCTTCAAACTTTTGCTTCAACTTAATTTACAGATTAGCTTCTTTGCAATCTCCGAGCAGTTTGTTTACATATAAAATGCCGGGTTATGTACTTTCTATTTCACAACGGGGAATAACTCTAAGAATATCTCGAAGAAAAAACATTATCAACATTACTAAATCGCTCAGCATATCTTGATAGAATTGATTTCTCGTTGATATTTGGCCTTATTCTGTGCACCCTAATTCCTAAACTTTTATTTAACACATTGTCTAGCCTCTGGGACATATGAAACCGACACTTCTTGATAGACTGTCGAAATATCGGCACACAGTCACAGGACACATGAGCGGCAGCCCACATGAGCCCCCGTAACCGTGTTTGGCGTGTTACATGTATCTGATACTTTTTTCTTACCGGTATTTGAATAGACCCTAATCAACTTCTGCTTCTGACTGGTTTCTGTATTTAAAAAATCCGTTTGCGAGTGGCAAAGCCGCCCTCAGCACGTCTCATTTTCGGCCCATTTTCCGTTGTTCGTCATTTTGGGAAATCCAGCGCTGTCGTTACTATGGAGATCGGAAATGGGTCAGTTGTCGTAAAATTACGAGACGTACTCGATGATAATGCAGATATTTTAATACTCATTTTCAATCAGAAAAAATTAAGTAGTAAATTTGAATGTACAATATTATTTATTATTTAATGATATAAACACTTTTACTGACATTATTTTGAATGCAACTTTTACAACTTTCGATCTAATTTTTGTTATGTAAAATGCTCACACTCATACAACCTTAATTGAAATTCTAAATTCTTCTCTTGTAGTAATTTCAGTAATTTCTTGTTTAACTATGCCCTGTGCAATATTCAGCTCATCTTCACCAATCGATATTTTTACAGCTAATCAATAACATGAAGATCTTGCATTTCAACGTAAATTTTCAAATATTGAATGATAGGATTTTTTCAAATTAATTTTATTGTTGTTTAAGTTGTCTCAAAAAGTACGTTATTTTCCGTCTCCATATGCGGTGTGACGAAAGAATATTGCTTTTTCGAATTTTTAACCCTATTCATCCTCTTGAACATTTAAGGAGACATATGTTCGCTGACATATTTTTTGTCTATACCGAAAAAATCCATTACGGACCGAGTAACGGGCCCAGAAACATTGAGAATCAAGACTCCACTACGACACAGTGGGGTTTAGTATTTGTCACTCAATAGCCTAGAAACCTATTGATATATTTCCTTTAAGGTATGTGGGACATGTTAAATTAGAAATATACATAATATGAAAAAAAAATGAAAAACGGCAGGTATTATTTTCAACTAAAGCTCGTTCTTCCCCTTAAGGAACTATGCTCTGCAGTCAGTTGCTGATTTTAGGGGAGAGCAACCGGCGCCCCCCCCCCCTCCTAAAATTTTCAAAGTTTACGTAAATCACAGTTTCGTCCAGAAAATGAAAAAAATGTCTACTTGGTCATGTGTTGGTTGACCTCATTTTTACCCAACAAAATCTCCAGAACCCAGGAGCTTCCGAGGGCTTTGCTCCCTGAGCCCCCACTTGGGCTTTGCTCTGGACACACTGTGGACTCAAGGCGGCCCCCAGACCCCTTGCCTACTTTTGGCGCCCCTCTAAGTTCAAATCCTGGATCCTTACCTGACAGTCAGTGAGAGGGGCTGAGCAAATTACTTTTAACAGCTTATCACCACTGGTTTCAATAATTGTGCTTGAATTTTTAAAATCTCTAAAATGGCAGATGATCACAGTAATGTTAAAATTTCCGATAGTCTTAATTGTGTTAATAACGTAACACTGCATTGCAAGGTCGAATTTAAGTTTTATTAAGTCATTGAATATTTAAGTGCTGGACTAAGGACAGATCGAGGTAGGAACTACATCATCAACATCTTGTAAAATCCCAATTCACATTCAGTTGAAAAGATTACTGAAGGAATTGAGTCTTCGTAAACAGAGAAAAGGCAGGTTTAATCCTTGATATGGAAACATACCCAAAATCAATAAATTGTAACCTACCTATATCAGTCCTAAACAATTGATATTTTCACTATGAAACAATAAGTCTGAGCTTGGTCTCTATACATGTACTAGTATATTGCAACTGTCGTCTCTAGTGTCAAAGTTGTTGATTTTTTCTCACACAAACCTACAGGCTTGTTATTTATATTCCATTAATTTCTCTTATATATTAGATCTATAAGCACCATAACGCATTGTATGCTTGTTCATGTAAAACATGTAAAAAAAGGACAATCCAATACTCAGTAACCCCTAATTTTATACATGTAGACTCTCATGAATCAATCTCTCACTATGACATGCTAAGACAAAGCGTGTGCTAGAACTTAAGCATCTGCAATG